AACTTGATTAAGATTTATGGGGTTTTAGCTTAAGGAAAGAGGAGTTGAATAAAGGATGGCTTAATATAATTGTATATAATACGTTACACATGTGAACAAAATGGATGTGATTCATGTTAGAACTCAAGGGGAACCCAGTGAAATTGAATATTGGGAAATTTAGGACAGATTAAAAAGAAATTATTCTTGAAGTAGAGCACAGTCAAATTGTGGAATTCATTACTGTGACAGGTAATGATGCCCACTAATAGAAACAAAGAAGATTGGACCAGTTTATGGCTGCTAAATTTATTAATGCTTGTTAGACACAATTTCTACATATTATATTCAGTTTTGGAGAGTTAGCTTATAATAGAAATTTCCTGACAGATAGAACAAATAATCAGTGGAACAACTTGCCTCCAGAAGTTGTGAATGCTCCACCACTGGAAGTTTTTAAGAGATTGAATAACCATTTATCTGAAATGGTATAGGGTTTCCTGCCTAAGCAAGGGGTTGGACTAGAAGACCTCCAAGGCCCCTTCCAACTTTGTTATTCTATTCTATTCTATTCTATTCTTTTTTTAATTAAAAAAAATCTTTATTAAAGTTCAAGATATTAAAAGGTTTACAAAAAGCAGAATATTAAAAATATTAAGAAAAAAATATGTAATAGAAATTATATTGACATCTTTCAATATCGATATTCAATATTCAATATTCATTATTCTATTCTATTCTATTCTATTCTATTCTATTCTATTCTATTCTATAGCAGTTATTGGGAAATGCAAGATCTAATTTTGTCTTGCTTGAAGTCTTCCTATGGGCATCTGGCTTTCTTTGTGAAATATTTTTCCCCAGTCCAAATGGTTTATGTCCTCATAATGTTCAGTGTAGAGCATAAGCCACTGAATACTTCATTACTCTAAAGCAGGGGTCGCCAACATTTTGGACCTCAGGGACCACCAAACTCATAATTTTAAATCCTGGGGACCACTAACCAGTTCTGTGAGTGTGGCCTGGTGGTCATGTGACTGGCTGGGCATGGCTTGTATGTAAAAAATTTGCTAGCAAGCAAACTCATAAAATTAACTCAAAAACATCATGTCTGTAATATATTGATTTTTTTAATATAAAAAAGAGCAACTTTTACCCAAAATCAGGCAAAGCAGGCAGGCAGATTGAGTTGCTCAAAGAATCACATATTCACTTAAATATCTGTGTTTCTGCCATTGGCTAGCTCCGTCTGCACTGCTTCAGTCCTAAGGAAGGTTTGGCTCTGCTTAAAAGCAGAGCTGAAGATCTAAAAATTAGCTAGAAAGCAAGAAATCCAATGATTTCCTGCTTTCTAGCTAATCTAAATCTCCTGGCACACCTGATGGTCAGAAAAAGGAAAAATAGCAACTTAGCAGGCAAGTTTGCCAGGTAAGGAGTGAGTGGGCGGTGAGGGTTCCCGTGGGCTATGGGGGCGGCGCAGCCTGGATTAATTGCTTTGGAGGTGCTCTGCAGGTGACATTTTTCTGTGGACCACCAAAATTTTCTTGCGGACCACCAGTGGGCCATGCCCCACCTGTTGGCGACCACTGCTCTAAAGTAAGAGCAACCTGGCAGTGGAGTCAGAGCAAGACTATGGCATTAAGAAGAGATAAGACTTAACCTTTTTACTCCCACAAGTTCCTACAACTGTTTCCATTTAGAAAAATGGGAAAACCAATAATAATCACTAATTTTCTAGGCTTTGCAGAAAAGTACCCTTAACTATCACTTTCTCTTTTTAGAAACCATTTTCTCTTTTTAGAAACCATGCAAAATAATTTTGCTAAAATAAGGACTGTTCAGGTATCAAAACCTGAAAGTCACGTATGGTATGGAAAATGAGAACTGTTTTACTCATATTCCATAATCTGGAATTCAAGTTTTACAGTAACACTCATTGACAAAGTCAGAAATTTCAAAAGACAATACAGGTAGTCCTTGACTTATGACAATAGAGACCAGAATTGTCATTGCTAAGCAAGGTTAGTCGTGCCCAACTTTATGAACTTTTTTTGCCATGGTTGTGAAGTAAAAGACTGCAGTTGTTAAGGGAATCATATGGTTATTTCGTGGAACCAGGTTCCTCCCCTGACTTTGCTTATCAAAAGCCAAATGGGAAGGTCACAAATGGTAGATCGTGTTACCCTGGGGGCGGTTGCAACCATTATAAATACATGTCAGTTGCCAAGCACCTGAATTTTGATCACGTGATGCTGGGGATGCTGGGATAGTCATAAGTGTAAAGAATTGGTCATAATTTCTTTTCTGTAGCCTTTTAACTTTGAACATATGGAATGGTTGTAAGATGAGGATTACTTGTATTTCATACAAGCTGTAATTAATTCATGTAATTCATACCAAAGAGGTGATGGTGACCATTGGCTTCAATGATTTAATGTTTGTATCGGGGAGTGGGGATAGGGAGATATTAGGTTTTATATTTAAATAGAACTTCTGTATTATTACAACCTTCTTTGCTACTTTTTTTCTGTGGGTTGAGACTAAGATACTTTCAAAGATATTCTAAGGATAGAAACTAAACAATAGTGATGGGAAAGTACTTTGGTCTGGGGAAATTAAAATCCTACTTTATTTTATCTTACCCCCAAAAGGCCAAGAAGAGATTAGAAGCATTAAAGTCCAGGAGGTCTGTGGTTCCTTCAATTAAACATGATTGTATTGTAAAAAAAAAAATTTGAATTAACTTACCAGAATCTTGCTGTTTGAGGTGAAAAAACAGGAAGAAAGGGCAAACATTTTCCATTGAACTGATTACCTGTTATTATTTTTTGTCAACAAAACATTTCTGAACTTTGATTTAAATAAGTCTAAACAGTTTGTAACATGTAGCTTCCTGTTTTGCAATCTTGAGATCCCAGAGGTCAAACTGCCAAATTTCTATGAGAAAAAAAAATGCCAAGGAAGAGAGGTGAAAGTTCAGTATGGAAAAAAATGTGTAACTGAAAAAAGTTACTTTCTCTTGGTCCACAAATCCAAGCCACTCTTCAATGTCAGGCCTACAACCCACCCCCAGAAATACTAACCAGTCAAGCTTCAGTGATATCATGGAATACCTGCATCCATTCTAGCCTCTTTCAAATAAAACAACCTGTTTGCTGAGCCTCAGCAACAATCTTGAACTACAGAGCAGTTGCTTGCTCTGTAAGCGAACAGAGCAAATCTTTGGGAATAAGAGACTTTGTGCTAACATTGTTAATTATACAGCCCTGTCAACTTGCCAATGCCTGGACAAAATTATAAAGGACCCCTTCTTCCTTTTCTCTAGACATAAAGCTCTTCCTCAGAGTGCATTTTCATCCAGTTCTTGAGCAGGCAAAAAACTATGATTGCACAATTGGCGCTACTCTCACACCTAAACTCTAATCTGTGTGTACAGATTAAAAAAGGTTGACTGGGACATCCATCCTTACATACCCCTTACCTCTGTGGGACAATTTAAGGGCAGTGGTTGGTGGATTTTTCTGGATTTATTTTCCCCCACCCACATGTGGTGGGGCAGGTTTGGGGGAAAATGGGCAGCATAACACAGATGATAGATGATGATAGATAAGAGAGAGAGGAGGAGGAGAGGAAGGGATAAAGGGAAGGAGGATAGATAGATAGATAGATAGATAGATAGATAGATAGATAGATAGATAGATAGATAGATAGATAATTGAAAAGGGTGGGGGAATGTCAGGAATTAAACAGCAGGTTGCTAAAGGACAGTTGCTTCATCACAATAATCTGTTTGTGGCTGCCACAGAACAAGACCTATTGGTCTTCTGGAAGGAAGACTTTTGAGGAGCAGGAGAAACTGGATAGAGAAAACAGCACTTCTTCACCATGATTAAAAATAGTAAAAAGCACAACCAAACAACTTTTTCTTGTAAGAAAAAGCAGCAGAAAATTGGAACAGAACCAGTAATTTGCAATTGGCAGAACCAGCCCTTTTCTTGGTTCAAATCTATCTCCCATACAGGTGGTGTGCACCTGTTTCCCTCTAAACAGATTTAACCATCAGAGATCAGATGTCTCTGTGGAAACCAAATTTCTAGTCTCTCTCGTTGCCCAACCCAAATGGCCATGGAGAGCAGGCCTCAATGACCAGAGGGGAAGAACAGGTACAAGTATCCAAGGAAAGTTGGGTAGGTCTTAGCCCCTGATCATGTCATCATCACCATAAAGGTTTATCAGGCTCAGACTGGTTTTCTTTGGGAGAAGAAGCCATATTAACCCTTTTAATCTTCTGCCAAAGCAGGAGTGAGCAAGCTGAATCTCTAAAACCCATTTTTGCATCTCTTCAAAGCCTTTTCCATTGATAGAGGCTTTAAAGAGGCTTTAAAAACAGCTAAATTGTGTGGTGTTTTCCAGTTTTTAGATTAAGTTCATGTAAGTGACAAATAAGCAAGGCCATGGTGCATTTGGAAATGAGAGCATGTGATGGATGTAGAACAATTATTCTGGTCATTTGGGAAGCCATAGCGATGATGTTAGAGAAATAGTTACAAAAGAAGTAAAGTTTAATAAAGCATAGTTTCAGGCAAACCCATTGCCTCTGTTTCCTGGCCTGGCCTAACGCAAAAGTCTGATCAATCACAAAATACCCAGTGTGAACTTGTTCCCGAGAGACATGTGTTTTCTGAGATTTTTCGAAGGTCACCTTGACAGGCATTGTGAAAGGTGTCTTAAGTTGTACAAGGGATCCACATTACTTCCTTGGACATAAGTCAAAATAAGCCCAAAAGGAAATAAACATCTTCCCCAACTTTGCATGTGAGCTTTTGCCACCTATATGGCAGAATGGCGATTTGTATCACCATCCATTTCAGCCCTTGACTTCCCCTAGCCATGGAGCATATTGTGTAGGTCCCCAGCTTCCCAGGGGTTGCCTATATCTGGGTGAAAGGAGACCACTGTTGTCATTTGATATGGTAACCCACTTCTCAGTTTACTTGCTTCAACTTTCCAATGTTTTACAGGCGTCAGCTATTCAGACACAGTGAGTGCCACCGAGCCCTGTAAGCCCTGTAAACAGTGTGTGGGTCTGGAGAGCATGTCGGCTCCTTGTGTGGAATCGGACAACACCATCTGCAAATGTATCTATGGCTTCTACCGGGATAAGAACAATAAATGTAAAAAGTGCCGCATCTGTGAAATAGGCTACGGGCTTGTCTATCCTTGTGGGGAAAATCAGAATACGTTGTGTGAGAAATGCCCGGCGGGGACGTATTCTGATGAAGCCAACCATGTGGACCCCTGCTTTCCTTGCACAGTGTGTGAGGAGGATGAAATCATGGAGAAGGACTGTACTGCAACTTCAGATGCCAAGTGCAGAGGTAATTATACATTTTTAAAATGGTGGCGGTGGTCGGGAGAAGATGGAGCTTAACAATGTGCACAGTGGTAGGATTCGATTTTTTTTTACTACAGGTGGCGTCGCAGGGGAAGGATACTGTAAAATCTCCATTCCTATCCCACTCCAAGGGGAAGGTTACTGCAAAATCCCATTCTCTCCCCACCCCACTAACCTGCTTTCCGGCTCCATTCTCCTGTGCAGGGCAACAAAAGAAGACCCAGCCGATCAGCTGGGACTTGGGAGGCAGAGAATAGATGGAGGTGGGGCCAATCAGAGGTGGTATTTGCCGGTTCTCTGAACTACTCAAAATTTCTGCTACCTGTTCTCCAGAACTGGTCAGAAATTGTTGAATACCACCTCTGAATGTGAATAATCCTGTGCCCCTGCCCAGCAGATATCCAGAAATAGGTTACTAGGCAGTACTGCTTCAAGCAATGAGGTAGGGATGGGGGTTCAGCAAAATGTCCTTTGGATAATGTTCTTGACCCCCCCCCCCAAGGCTGTCCTGGTTTTCTCCTGGTACAGTCCTGGTCTCTCTTCCTGGTCTCTTCATTTACTAGGCACAATTAAGGAAAGAAACATGTTGATTTGTTCTTTTCTTTTTCTTGTTGTTTGAACCTCCAAAAAACCAAAACAAATAGTAGAGCCATTTGGGATTATTAGCTACAAAGTAAATTCTGATGGCCCCCGGTGGGAGGATGGAGCTGCCCAGTGGTACGCCAGATCAAAACTAGTTTAAGATAAGTAATTTTTAAGAAGAGAAACAGTCAGGGGGCTTTGCTCCCCCGGGGGGGGGGGACTGCAGCAGCAGCTGAGCAAGTACGCAAGTCCCTAGTTTGAGTTTCTCTCAGTGGTGAGTGGTTGTCTTTTTTTTAATTGCTTAGCAATTATTGTAAACTTCAGTATTTCGAATGAGAAAAATGTGAAATTTGTGCAAAACTATGCCCACTTTTGCTGACTTTCTCATAATGATACCGTTACTCCTAGTACAATCTCCATCCAAATATAGATAGATATAGATAAATATAGATAACCTTTATTGTCATTTTTACTGTGGGCACACTGCCAACATTAAAAAATAAAATTCTGTTGCCTGCTCTCAAAAGTGTACACATACGTAACACACATATACACATCACACACACACACACACATCACTGTCCATCTTGAATATATATCAGAAAGAGGAAGCTTGAGAATTTACAAGGTTGATACTATATGGATACTATATATACAGTCCATCCTGCCAGCTGAACTCTTTTTTGTACATTTAAAAGGTCAAAATGGATTGCCTGTGACCATAGAAGTGAATGAAAATAATTTATGTATTTATTACAATTTTTTAAACCTGCCTTTATTATTTTTAGAAATAATTCAAAGTAGTGAACATACCTAATAATCTTTCTTCTTCCTATTTTCCCCACAACATCCTTTCATGCCAAAGGTGGGACTAGAACTCACAGCCTCCTGGTTTCTAGGCCAGTACCTTAATTAGTGCAACAAATATCAGAATTCCTGAGCATATGAGATCTTGACATGCATGTGCATGTGAGAATGGGGCTGTAGCTTAAGGACTATTAAGCAACTCCTTTCTTCCTCTGTATATTCATGCTATAAGTACATGACAATATTTGCAGGGAACAATATTCACTCAATATTATGCTAATGTTTCTCCCCGGAGGAGTGCAAAGCAAGTTAACAGTCCCTGATGTCTTTTGTTTCCGATTTTCAAAAATTCACTCTCAAGTTTACATTTTGACCAGATAAACAAATCAAATCAGAAGTGGAAACATATTGTGTACTTGCATAAATGTACGCCGAGATATGGAGCCAATGACATGCCCAATTCAACCTCCACTGATGAGAGGTGGCTATGATTACAATTTTCCATTTACAATTTTAATTTTTTTAATACATTCATGAATTTAAAGCATATCCCTCTCCCAGGTCCTTCTTCCCAGATATTATCACTCTCCCAGCACTGTCATATTTCTTTTCATAAAATATACTGAAATAAACAAAAACAAAACCACCCAGGATGCATTCCTCTTTTGGGGGACTTCCTGAATAGTTCCAGGTTAACTATTAGAAGAAGAGTATGGTGGCTTGTGTGGTTAGGATACTGGGATGGAGGTTGTCAAGCCCGTATTCGAGAACCAACTGCTTCTGTGGGGCAACGTTGAACTTCCATCCTTCACTCCAATTTCTCCAACTTCTTCAAACATGAAAGGAGTCCTCAACTAGGCATCCCGCAGGCAACGGTGATGTCACCAACGAATTCTTTCAACCTGGAAGCCCCTTGCACTCTGACATGAGTGCAAACTATCAGAATTGTTCTCTCCTGGGAAGAAGTTGAAGCCCATCTTTTGACATAAACATAGAGGCAGATTTGTTTTGCTTAATCCACAGAGGGACGAGTTTTTCCTGTGACTGATAACACACAAACAGAAATCAACCTGCTCTCTCCTTGCTTCCTAAGAATGTCTTGACTTGCAGAAGCTAACAGGTAAAGCTTCCTATGGCATGGAGATAAACAGGATCTCTTGCTATTTGCTTCAGGGAAAATGGCAACCTATACAGTAATAATAGGATGCAATTCTAAACTTAGCAACCTGTGCCAAAATCAGAATTGGAGGACTGTTTGGAAACATATTCTTAAAACACATTCCCCATTTGATTGGGCCTCCTCCTCCTCCTCCTCCTCCTCTTCCTCTTCCTTGATGCTAAAACACATGAAGAATGGTTACAGGAACTAGTAATAAGGCACAGATAGTCTAGTTAAGAGGATGAGGGGAGATACAATAGCAGTGTTCCAATATTTGAGGGGCTGCCACAGAGAGGAAACGGTCAACCTATTTTCTAAAGCACCCGAAGGCCAGGCAATGAATAATGGTTGGAAACTGATCAAGGAGAGATTCAATCTGGAAATAAGGAGAAATTTTGTGACAGTGAGAACAACCAACCAATAGAACAGCTTACCTTTGGAAGTTGTGGGAGCTTCACCACTGGAAGCTTTCAAGAAGAAACTGGACTGCCATCTGTCAGAAATGGTGTAGGGTCTCCTGCCTGGGGGGGTTGGAGTAGATGACCTACAAGGTCCCTTCCAATTCTGTTCTTGTTCCTCCTTCCATCTACTTCTGTGCTTCACTATGTCTAGCAAACAGAAGATTTGGGCTGGATCAATAGTGGATTCTCTTCTGAAATGTGAATGGTGGTTTCTGGCATGGAAATGACTGTATAGTTTTTTGTGCTGGTCCTTTTGCCAAATCCCATTTTCCCCATTTTTCTCAACCATTGAAAAAGAACCTATATATTAAATGGGTCATCACACCCATCTTCCGCCTAATCTTAGTTATGCCCAATTATCTAATGCTTGCTTATTAAGTCATTAGAATATTTATAGGGATCCTCAGAATCCCAACAGTTATTTGATGTGTTGTATTTCTCATAGTGGAAAGCGAAAATTTGACAGTATAATACAGAATGTGGAAACCAATCTATTTTGCTTGGCAACATTTCTATTTAAAAGATAGGAATTCCAATATGACATTGATTCATTCCAAGCTTTCATGCATGGCCCACTTTGCAGAATAGTAGCAAGTAGAGTTATTATCAAAATACAAATATCTGCATATTGTATTTATGGAAGAAAGAACAATGAGAAATGGGTAGGGGTGTTTTGCGGAAAAAGGTAACAAGGAGAAACGGCTAAGATATGCCTGTTCAAGGTACCCCATTCTTCAGCTTTATTTTAAGACTGTAGAAGTTGAATGTAATAAATCAGAAATAAGACAAACAAACAGAAAATGAAGATAATCACCTACTATGTTCACACTTGTGCTAAGCTATAGTGTGGTTTAACTGTTTGTAATTCAGTATCTGAACTCAGCCATTGCGGTTTTAATATCCCGGCTTAGTGTGAACCGAGCCAAGTGGAGTCTCTCCAGGAAAGCATGGTTAAGCAGTATGAGCCATGGGGAAAAATCAAAGCTGACTTTAAAAAAACCCTAAACAAAATTACAGTTCTATACCCACTACTGTATCCGAGAATAAAGCAATTGTGTTTATATGATAAATGTCAGAACTGATGTGGTTTGATTTGAAAGCTGGTTCTGATCCCAGCTGAATAAGGGAGTTCCTGGACAATCTTCAATAAGCTTAACTTTTCAGAGTTTGTTATGTTGATCTTGATAGCAATTTTTCAAGATTGCTATGAAGGTTCCTGGCATTCCAATTTCACTGATTCAGATGCAACAACTCCAATCTGAGAAACAGTGATCTATAGAAGACAGATGCTACAAATCTTGTCCCTGCCCACTTTCTCTTCCCCCTTCTCCCCTTCCTTCAACAGCCGGTATTAACAATATGACTCCTCAGGGTAACAGTGGGATCCAAACTAATTAAAATGTTTTTTTTTTTTAAAAAAAGGGCAAAATATTTTTATATATTTTTTAATTTATTTATTGAATTTATATTGCCGCCTATTCGCCCATGGTGACTCAAGGTGGCTTACAAAATATAAAACCACATTCAAAAACAATAAAAAACTAACAAAAATAATCAAATACATTATAGTACGATATAAAACAAATCACTCCTCAACTCCTACTCCCTGCCCTGGAGACAGCAGATCACACAAGCCATTTAATGGGCTCCATCCCACTCTGGGTTCCCACTGGGAGAACCAGGTCTTCAGAGCCTTCCAGAAGAATATTGGAGTGGGGGCCGTTCTAATCTCTGGGGGAATGATATTCCAGAGAGAGGGAGCCACCACAGAGAAGGCCCTTCTTCTGGGTTCCCATCAGGTGTATCTCCCTCGGGGATGGGACCCGCAACATTCCCTGCCTCGGGAATGTTGAGTCAGGTAGATGTGACCAGCAAGAGATGTTCCCTCAGATAACCTGGTCCCAAGCCATGAAGGTGGCAACCAGCACCTTGAATTACACCTGGAAGCAAATCGACAACCAATGCAACTCCTGCAGGAGAGGTGATACATGTTGCACACTGGGGTCTGCACAAAACCATGTGGGCTACTGTACTTTGCACCAACTAGAGCTTCCGGATGCTCTTCAAGGGTAGCCCCACAGTGATCTTGAGTTTAAGTGAATGAGAAAAAGAAAATATAAATACAGCTAAACAACAATATCATCAGTATTTGTGAAAGTGTATAACTTCAAAAATAGGAAGAAGAATGAAAAAGGAGGAAGAAGAAAAACAGTGGGGCTGAAAAAATAAGTTGTAAATAGAACAACTCCAAAAATCAACCATTTTTCTCAAAAGTCTTCTCTTTGGATGTAGCTAAGAGAACAAATAGTTTTTTTAAACATACAATTTGTTTACTTAGTTATCTATTGAATTTTTATTTCATTTTCATTTTGACTTATGTTGAATTACAGCAGCTAGAACATCTATGGTAAATATAACAGTAATGCAGGATGACATGTTCAGTAATGCAGGATGACATGTTCAGTCGATGTTGCAGTTCCACATGCAACAATATTAGGATAAAATCAAATAATATGAATTTTTATTCTAGCTTTTGAATCATATCTCCAAGAGTAAGTTCTAAACTTACTTCTAAAATTCTAACTATGCTTTCGTGAAAAATTTCTGAGGTGTCCTGTATCCACAAACATTTTTGTTGCTTTAACCTAATTTTAAGATGATAAAAGTTATTTTCACATTATTTACAGTGATCTTCTGTGAATTTACAGAGATGAGGCATCATAGCAGTTATTTATGTGATGCATAAATAACATAAAAATCAATTTCATCATTTCATTTTTCTTCAGCTTTTTATAAAAATGGGGTTTTGGCTTAGGAGCTACTATTAATTCTTCCAAAACCTCAAATTATGATATAATTTCTGAGGCAGTGATAGCATCTGGATTAAATAAACCAAATAACAAATGATTAAACTGAATATACTTCCAAGAACATTCTCAGTTCAATAAAACTTGTTTTTTAAATTTTATATTAAAACAGTTTCCTTGAAAGTAAGGTGATTCTGATTAATTATGTTGTGACAAAACCAGTTTATCACAAGCATTGTGTCAGAGCTTTTGCAGTGTGGCTGCTATTATGAGACAAGCCAGGAGCAAAACACAGTACACAGAGACTTAGATATTTAAGAGTGGTTTATATACAACAGTTATATACAGAAATATATATGGCAGGCAAATACCTTACAAGCAATCAATCTTCTTAACTTTACATGGAGAACTCTGCAATGGAGACAGGATCCAAGGAGAGAGAAAACACCCTCTATAATGGCAGCCTTATATAAAATCTCTTAAGATGGTAAAACTTCTGTGGACCCCTTCTTAGTCTTAAAAAAGGCAATAACCACGCTCAGGGGTGGGATTCTACCAGCTCGCACCTATTCGCTAAAACCAGTTGTTAACATTCTAAGCAGCTTGGAGAACCGGTTGTTAGAAGAAATTACTGCCTAATCCTGTAAGGAAGGCAGGAAGGAAACATTCTGGTGTTGCTTACAGAAACTGCCCCTCTGTTAACCCTTATTACATTCTTGGTAGGACTAGACTTCCTGTCTCTGGAACGTCTCTGGAGTTTTTCCCCACTCCTTTGCTGGTACTTTGCTTGTGTGGAGTGACCATTCAAAGTTACAATGGCACGGAAAAAAGTGATTTATGACCATTTTTCACACTTACGACTGTTGCAACATCCCCACAGTCACGAGAGGCCAGGCGAGGAGATGCGTGCCCCAATGTGAGTGATGTTGAGTTGGTCACGCCCAGTCAGTAACATGACCACCAAGCCATGCCCACCAACTAAGCCACGCCCACAGAACTGGTTGTTAAAAAATTTGAATCCCACCCCTGCCCACGCTATGCCGATTCATCCTTATTGCATCAGCCTTATATTGCATCAGCCTTACATTACATCATCCTTACATTGCCTCAGCCTTACAGCAGTTGGCAGCTATTAAATCTTATACCTCAACACATTGATTAAAATGCTTAATTTAAGTTTCTGAGGGGTAAACATAATGTTTGCAACCAAGTAATTTTCATCTACGCTTTGCAACATTAAATGTAAATATTAAAGATATTAAATGTGGATATTGAAATAAAATACAAAAAAGGTTCTCAGTGTAGTATTGGGTTCAAGTAATAAATCTTAGTTGAACTAAAGAACACTTGGATTTTGGAGTTCCTGCAGCCAAAAACCAAAGCTGGATTAAATGCTCATGATAATACTGAGAGTGTGGAGAATCTGTCTTTCTCTGTTTGTTTGTTTGCCTCCTGCCTTTATTATTTTTACAAATATCTCAAAGTGGCAGACATGTTTAATGCAACTGATAGTTGTCATTTGTGAAATGAAGTCCCTTTAAAAATATCTATTTAGTGGCCTTCATTTAAAATAATGGAATGGAATAAATGTAAATCAACCCCAAAGGCTAAACTCTGGCAGACATTTTGTGTTCTTACCAAACTTCCCAGGAGATTTTGAAACTTTTTTCATTTAATTTTTTTTTATCATTCAGTTTGTTAAAATCAGTATATTATATAATGGCTTGAGAAAGCCCTTAAATTGTAGTTTCCCAGTTTAGAAAATGCTAATTTCTAGCCAATGAATAGAAAATTAATGGCTGGAACCAGTGGTGGGATTCAATTTTTTTTTTACTACTGGTTCTGTGGGCGTGGCTTGGTGGGTGTGGCTGAGGAAAGGATACTGTAAAATCTCCAGTCAGAGGTGGTATTTGCCCGTTCTCCAAACTACTCAAAATTTCCACTACTGGTTCTCCAGAACTGGTCAGAACTTGCTGAATACCACCTCTGGCTGGAACATATTGCCTGAAGATGAGTCCGTAGTCCATATTGCTCTGATGTCAGCTGTTCCAGGTGGGGGCAAAATTATGCAGGCTGCAGGGCAAGACGTTCAACTATTCCCTCAGGCCTGGCCAAATTTCATAAAAGCCACTCAAAAAAAGGAAGCGGTAGCCTGCAGTTGAGTAGGAAACTCTTCTCTCTGTGTGGCATTTGGGTTTCTTCTTTGGAATGAAACAATCAAAAGGCAGAGCTTGCCCCACCCAGATAATGTTAGATGAACAAAAGGTGCCAGAAAGGATATTATGGGACAGGGTTTTTTTTTTTCTTTTTCTTTCCCAAAACCTCCATCACATTTAGAGGCATTAAAACAGAGTTTCTCCATTTTGTCAACTTTAAGATATGTGGACTTCAGCTCTCAGAATTCCCAGCCACAAAAATTGCCAAGGTTGAGAAACCCCTACGTTACAGATTATCTTGAAAAGAAGGAACACATTTCTCAAGATATTGTGTGGGATTTCTGACTTTCTAAGGACCACCTATCTTGTTTTGAATCTGACCAGTTAATATGATTTACCAGCAAGGTTTCCATAGGGACTAAGATCAGAAATGTTGAGAAAAAGCTTTCTGATTCCTCCAGAACTGTGATTGCTTACCTTTCTCTTAAGAAAAACAAGCACATCTTGACCTTTATTATTGTTCCCAGTATTTAATTGGTGTAATGGTTTTGGAATAGTTTCACTCTGTGATTTGATTGCTATCTTATTATTTTAATTTGTTTGGGTTCTTAACAGGAAAAATGATACATATGTATATTTTGTTACCAAAATGATTTAGTACTATAGCAGGGCACTGGGGAAGTGATTTATTCAGGACTGTTCAAATATACCTAATGTGGCAGTCTGTATTTATTACAGATTAAGTTTAAATGACAGGACATCAACTTACTTAAGGCCATAAAGCAAACTGTGTGGCAAAATGAGAACCCTTCACATCTGCCACTCTTCAGCCTGCCTTCTGAAAGGGTGTCACATGTCTGACCTTCTCATCTACTTTTTCTTGCAAGAATTATGGTGTGATGAGAATGTCTGGGTATTCACATCTGCTTCATATCTTACATCTTTAGTTAAATGTGATTCATTTCTAAATTTCTCAATTGCCAAAAATTTCTTATTCTCTTTTCTAAGTTATTCCTGGTTTTCTTGGCAGCAATTAATCCAAGATTTGCGATGACAACCAAAGTCCCGATGGATCCTTATACCAGCGACAGAAATGCAGATGCAAACGCTGATGTAATCGTAGATATGGAACACGGTATCTTGTTTTCCTTTTCCTACACTGCTGAAATAGTTCTTCATTTGCTCAATTCATCTAACTCCCACAAGGGCTTTACTAGACTGCATGAAATAAATAAAACCGCGGACTAAAACAACAACTCGGGGAGGTATTGTTCCAAAAATTTTCTGGAGAGAAGCCATAGATGTAAATTTACCAATAATGATCAGAGTTAGAGTTATCACTTTATGGTGACTTCTCTCCTATCTTTAGTAGTTCCAACTGGTGGTCATAGGAAGGAAGTGCTTAAGCAGGTCCCACAGAACTCAAAGTTCTCCCTGAATGGAGCCCTCCCCTTTTGGTGCATTGACAAGTTGTTGCATTGACGACTATTGTAGTAGGCTTCTGATCCAATTATAAAAGTGCTGGTTATTTCTTTTAAAGAGACGTAACACAGGGACATATCAGGCAACATCTTGTCCCTCTTGAATCTGCCTGTCTGATCCTTACATCAAAAGTGGTCAATTGAGAATTCCCTTCCTCAAGAGGTATATAAATCATGGGACACATGACAAAACTTCGTGTAGTACCTTGCATTTTTGAATCTCACTTTTCCTGAAGTTACATATGATCCCTACTATTCTTATATTTCATAAGCAAGTAAAATCAATCCATCTTCAACAAACCTTTAGCCCTGGTTGACTGTGGGACCATAGAAACTTTACTGAATTAATGATTACATTGTCTTGATGTTTTCTTTTCTTTCATTTTTGATTCTATTACCAGTGGTCCATTCTCCAGAGTCCCTCCATATTGGAGCAGCTATAAGCCTTGTTAAATAAACAAACAAAATTCTTTTGAGGGAATTACATTGTTTCAGCAAAGATGGGGTGGGAACTTTTGATCATGTTCACACTTGCTTAATTACTGAAATGTTAATTAAGTGATACATTCCTAATTGTCTCACAGTTTTTCACTCTCTTTTGTTTCACTCTCTCTTGTTTCCTTGGCAGCAACTAATCCACAATTTGCAGTGGCAACGAAGACCCCAATGAATTCCAACACTAGTGATGCAGACCCAGGTGCATTCATAGTTCCCGATGTAGTCACAGACCCTGATGCAGTCATAGATATAGAACATGGTATCTTGTTGTTTTTTTCCTTACCCTGCTGAAACAGTTCCTAATTTGCTTAGTTGGTCTCACTCCAACAAAGATCCCACTGAAACCCTTGACTGCATAAAATAGTTAAGACCATGGATTAAAACAACATTTTTGAGCCCTAAGGAAATTATTATTCCCAAGCATTTTGGAGGGAAGCCATATAAGTGAAAGTATAACTAACCGTTATAGCTTTATTTGCAGGTAATATAGTATGATGTGATTGCAAGTACTAACAGAATCAGTGACCTCATTTTGAGACAAAAAAAAGAACTTCTTTTAATCCCCAGTATGGAAATGTTCCTCCAGCTTTACTTTATTCTATATTTTTTTTGAATGCTTATGATAAATATGGATATACAGTAAGAATGATTAAGACATGAAGCAGATCACTAACTATTTGCAAATGCAGACAAAAATACCCAGATTAGCAAAGAAAAACATTTGTATATTTATGTTTCATAAAAAAGGTGTCTAGGCCCCAAGGGAATTTTACATTTTTCAGAAAGCCAAACATTCTGATGCATGAATTGCCCTGATGATAAAACTAATCAACAAATAATTTTTCAACTTTAACTCAGAGATGGAGAATGTGAAGTGACCTAATTATCTAGCATTATTCCAGAATGATTGAAGCTACATTCCAATACTGACTTACTAGTGATTAAAACTCATAAAACCCAAAGGACTTTCTTATTAGAAGACATTATATGAATGCACAACCTAATATATATTTGTATGTTGTCATACAAAGCTCTCATTTTCTATATAGACATGAATCTGCATTGTTGTAGTGGTGGTTTAGATTATTATCCACTACCCAAATTCAGGAGCTCTTGGTAGTGAACATAACATTTCCTTCTCTCTCTTTTGTCTATCACAAACTTGTGTGATAGGCTGGATAGTGAAAGGTCCAAAGTCACCCAGCAAGATTTTATGACTAAGTGTAAAGTTGAACCTGTGTAGATTTGAATCTGGATTCCCCAGCACTAGCCAACATCTGAACAATTGGCTTTTGGATCACTAATATTATAGTTACAACATATATGTAAAGGAAAATAGATTAACCTAAATGCAGCCTCATTTTGCATATTGTCTCCATAATTATTCTTCTGTTTCCTTACCTTTCCAGATTTTTACCCAGGGACACCCAAAAGTCCCTTTCCCATTACAAATTTTTCAGAGACTCTGGATATTTTGGAGACCACTATAATGAGCACTACAATGACCACTATTATGGGCAGCTCCCAGCCTGTCATTCGAAGTGGGACAGCCGATAACCTCATCCCTGTCTACTGCTCCATTTTGGCAGCTGTGGTGGTGGGTCTGGTGGCATACATTGCCTTCAAGAGGTAAGTAGCACAGACAGTCCAGAAGACAAATGTGCGGGAGGAATGTTGTGATGGAATGTTGTGATGTGCAAGAGGAATGCAATGACAGGCAGTGTCTAAAGTTGATCTTGCTCACTGTCTAGATGTCCTTCAGTTGTTCAAACTACTTCCTGTACCTGTTCTAAGGATGTAATTTTGGCTGACCATGGCAAAACAATTCATGATTAGCACATTTTGCAGTTAAAAACTATAAACTCCAGCATAACAGGACAATATGAGATTTGCGTGCAACTCTCATTTTCCTTTCAAAGAAATAGCATGTAAAGTGTCATATCATTGACTATCTTGAACAGTCCTCTAGGGCCTAAATACTGTTGTTTTCCTGCAACCCCACATAATTTGCAAGCAGGGGAGGCTAAGAGGCAAAGGAGAAAAAGGTAGCAGCAGAAGAGGAAGCCACTTTGTGAATATGTGCTTACAACAGGCGCACATTTTTCATACAGTATTGCAGAGCATATTTGACCTTTAAATATAATTCCTAGGACACTCTGAAGAAAGTATATGGGGATATAATGCAAATTGATTTGATTTATTTTCATATGATGATTATTCTTCATATTTTAATAATTTCTAATAAGAATATTTTGGTGGAGCTCAGGGGCCATGTCTCTGGCATGCAATAGAGAAGAATGGAACCATTCTCTGTTCCCATCCTCCTTCTACATGTATTTTACACCCTTCCCTTAAGCAATAGGCATCTTTATAAAGGCAATTAGATGTACTTCAATAATTTCAAAGCTGGCCACATGCAATTATCCTTGAATAGCAAGCATGAGCATCCTCTAGAAATAACCAGGGGTGGGATTCAAATTTTTTAACAACCTGTTCTGTGGGCATGGCTTAGTCAGTGGGCGTGGTTTGGTGGTCATGTGACTGAGTGGACATTGCTTGGTGGTCATGTTATTGGCTGGGCATGGCCAACTCAATATCACTCACATCGAGGCACGCATCTCCTCATCTGGCCTTTCATGACTGTGGGGATGTTGCAACAGTCGTAAGTGTGAAAAATGATCATAAGTCACTTTTTTCAGTGCCACTGTAACTTTGAATGGTCACTCCACCAAGCAAAGTACCAGCAAAGGAGGGGAAAAAAACCTCCAGAGAAGTTCCAGAGGCAGGAAGCCTAATCCTGCCAAGACTGTAATAAGGGTTACTGGAGAGGCAGTTTCTGTAAGCAACACCAGAATGTTTCCTTCCTGCCTTCCTTACAGGATAAGGCCAGTAATTTCTTCTAACAACCGGTTCTCTGAACTGCTTAGCATGTTAACAACTGGTTCTAGCGAATAGGTGTGAACTGGTAGAATCCCAACCCTGGAAATAACTGTTCAGGATTGAAATTTCTAAGTTGCTGTTGTTAGAAATTAGACCCTTCTGTTGTGGTTAGCCAGCAGTAGGTGCAGATGGCTGAGGAGAGCGATGACTCTGAGGAGGGGCCAGGACCATCAGGGAGTGGGCTGCTGCCTTCAGAGATTGTGGGGGCTGGCAGCAGTGATGAGGAGGTTCCTGAGGAGCCTGTGCCAAGTGCACGTGCACGAAGGATTACTCGGAGGAAAGAACAATTACAGCAGCACAGGCAACTCGAGAGTAAGGCTGCAAGGTAATGGCCCCTTCCTCAAGAGGATAAAAGCCAGGTTTGGAAAAGTGTTCTGAAGCTCAACTTGTGGACATCTTAGTTCGTGTTTGGTGAATCTTGTAAATTAGTTCTTATCTCTGGGTTTTGGGCAGCATTGAGAACACCTTGGGCAATGCTCTTTCTTGTCGGAGCTAATTAGTGGAAAGCAGCCTTTTATCTGTAAAGGAATAGAATTCGTTATTAAACCTTAAAAGGTGGGGGCTGCTGCCTTTTTCTGTGTTTGCTCTTTGGGAACCTGGTTGGGTCAGAACACCTTCTCAGTACCAGTCCAGGAATATCTTGCCTCTAAAATTGCCATTATTTTAGCTATTCTACACATATGACCATGAAAGATTGGGAAGATGATAATGATTATATCCATGCTATGAATTATTATCTCTGGCTGATTGCTTTAGCCCAAGTGGTTGATAAAAGAATAGAAGCAAGCCAAATGTAAGTTGGTTTGTTGTTGCTTTTTTCTATGACTGATAGACATTAGTCCTTTTTGCAAGAATGCTGGTTTTTATTATAAGATAAAATCCATTATCTTATTTCTCAAGCTCCAATCCCTAAATATAAAATATTCTGCTTTTAGAAAGCCAGTTGTCTTGGATTACATTGGAAAGTATTTCCTAAAGTATAACCCAAAGACCCCATGCTCCTGCCTCTTCTTCTTTCCATTGATGCCTACTGGACTTCCTTCTCCAAGAATGAAAGTCGAAAATAATAAGAATCATATGATTGCTTTACCTTGTAATCAGCAACGGGACTAGACTGGGCCTAGGAAATGATTAAGAAAAAGCAAATAGGAAATAAGAAAGTAGATTATTTGTGGATCCAAATCCATCCTTTCATCCATCCTCCAGTTCAAATATATTGAACCATCTATATTAGATGACATCATTACATATACCTGAATCACTTTATCTATTTAGGAGTTCATTGACTCAATTCCAAGCTCTTATAAAAGTGGTTGCTTGGTCTCCTGATTCATCATGGTTGTGCCCAGTTCTTTCTAAGAAAGCATCTTAGTATGGATGGGTCCGCCAGATTTTGATGGACTATATGATTCCTTATCACTTGTCATGTTTATCAGGGCTGATAAGATTTGCAGTTCAGTAGTGATTTCTGCCCTATCCTAGGCATAAATGTATGTTTTTTCTTCTGTATGAAGAAAGAGAGCTAACCCTACAAATTCACAATCAGTGTTGGCAATTGCAGTGACTTTCAGGACCCAGTATCAATGAAAGCACCCTTATCTGGATGGGCAAATTAATCCATACAGTGAGAGTTGTGTCTGGACAAGCCTTGAAAAGGTAGCATTCACCACACCCAAACTTCATGATGTGTAGGAAGGAATTAAATCTCGGTGGCCCTGCCAATTTTGTAGTGTACTGTGGGTCAGAAGAAAGAACAGGTATTCTTGCCTCAACTGTCAAAAATTTTCACCTCTAGGTGGAACAGCTGCAAACAGAACAAACAAGGTGCCAACAACCGTCCTGTCAACCAGACACCTTCCCCAGAAGGAGAGAAACTTCATAGTGACAGCGGCATCTCGGTTGATAGCCAAAGCCTCCACGATCAACAGCCACCAACCCAAACAGCATCTTTACAAGGCAAGAGGAGGGGTCAAGCTGAAGCTGGGAGGGGAAGAAACCAAAGAGCAGGAATGCAATTCAGAAAGACAGGAAAACTCTAATTACCAAAATATACTATAGCCCTGGCAGACACCAAAAGGACAGTTAATCCAAGAACTATCTACTTTCTAGATCACATCCCTCTTGTTGCTTGTCCTGTAAACCAACCAATGAAATCCCAATTATAATTTGCCCTGGGCAGATAGCAAGCATATGCAAGTTTTTGTTGATGCAATTGTAACTAACAAACCAAGTAAAATTACAATGGGGAAAATAAGCAAGGTGGGGCAAATAGCTGTATTCCTCTGCCCCCACGTTTCACATTTTTCCAGAAATATCATATTTAGTGTTTTTCCATTTCACTCCTTTTAGCACATATGTCAAGTTAAATTCATTGCTCTGGAAATTCTACTTTTAGTTTATACTAAAATTTATGTGCATTGTAGTGCACGTTGCTTTTTTTGTCACCTATTTTACTTATATACACCATTTTTACAAATAATTATTTAGTATAATAGACAATTAGTAATATAATATATTTTTGTATATAATTCATGCATTTTGGGTTAAACTTGTCATATATATTTTAATTGTTGGTGAGCCCCAATGCAGTCTTCAGAGATTTGAAAATCGGTTTTGGTCTATGTTTTATTTTAAAAATGCAAAATCTGATCATGTTACTTTTAAAGATAAAGCTAAACACATTTTTCTCCCATTCCTGGCAAGAAGGCTGGTCTTCGCTATTTTATAGATACCAATACAAATCCAAAGTTTGGAAAATTATTAGTTTCTTTAAAAATACTATAGGACACTGCTTGATGTTGAACTTAGACTCAGGTTTCAGCCCCAGGACATAGTTTGGAAAATCCATTGTTGTTATTTTAGTGCTTTCAAGTCAGTGTTGACTCTTGGAAACTGCTGGGACAAATTCATGCAGGTTTTTTTGGCAAGGTTTTTCAGAGGTTTGCCATAGGTTCCTTCCTAGAACTGAGAAAGAGTGACTGACCCAAGATCACCCAACTGACGTTGTGCCTAAGGTAGGACTAGAACTCATGATCTCCCGGGTTCTGGCCTGATGCCTTAACCACTACACCAAACTGGGTCTCTTGCCTGTTATTCTACCATGTTTCAAATTATTTATGCTAGAAGTACATATGAAATACAAACATTTGCAGTATAAAAACAACAGCTCTCAAAAGTATACTTTTTTTTTGCTTCCTACACTAAAAGTCAAGATCAATTTTCACTCCAGATGGATGAATTTCTGTGCAATTGGCATGAAAGTTAGTTTACTTCTATTAGGCAAATAGGTATGGTCATTAAAACCATATTTTCCTAGTAACTGGGAGGCATTTTATACCTTAGAACATAAAACTAAATTATTCTTGTAAAAATCGTGTCAAGTCTCACTCTACTTCATGTGGACTATTTTGGGTTACACATTTTTGAAAAAAATCAACCCAATAGTTTCACTTCAGGATTAGGATTAGGGGCATAAACCATTGAGATCATGCTTTAAAAAAATAATTTATGAAAAATAAGGCACTTGTTAAATATACAGCATGAACCCTGGTAGCACAGTAATTAGAATGCAGTACTGCAGGCAAACTCTGTCCATAGCCTGGAGTTCGATCCTGACCAGCTCAAGGTTGACCCAGCCTTCCATCTTCCAAGGTCAGTAAAACATGGACTCAGACTGTTGGGGGCAATATGTTGACACTGTAAATCTCTCAGAGAGTGCTATAAAGCGATATATAAGTCTAAGTGCTATTGTAGTGCAATTGCTATACAAGGTTTTCAATAACTCATAGTAGATGAGATAAGTTGCCTACCATTGCAATTCTGTCATCCACTAGTTATGACTCATTCTGTGAGCCCATTTCCCCCCCCCCCCCCAGAAGGTTTTACTAGGTTGATATCAACCTATGACATGAGGTTTATATTGAGAGGGTGAGCATTTGTGGCTTTTTGATCCTTAGATCCTCTGCTATTCCACTTCACAATTTCTACCTCTGTGCTCTTTGAAAACAAATAATTAGTAATAATCTCACTTGTCATGATAAACACTAGTTAATTTGGTCATAATGTATGTAATAAATCATAATGCCAGTTTCATAAAACCTAGTAAGCCATAAATTATAAATTACAGTTCATAGATCATGCTAAGTCAAAAAGAATAGGCCACGTTTTTCTTAAAACCAGTAAATGGAGCAAAGAGTAAGTAAGAAAAATTACTCTCTTTCTATTTTTGGAAGTCCATGCCAACTGGACTATTATGAGTAAATGTTAATATGAGGAGAAGGAAGGCTCCTGCAAGATCATATGCATGTGGAAGAGCAGTGCATTATCTCCCAGTAACTGTTTTGGGTCATTGGTTTGGCTTGGTTTGAAGGCCATTCTTGGCAGTTTACAATAGTAAACAATGTAGTAAAAACTGCATGAAGACTTGAACTGAACTGGGCCCAAAGGGTCTTTCAAAATTCTCTAACATAGAGAATGAGTGTGGAGGAACTGGATAGACCATTTCTTTGACTTTCTCTAAGTGAACAAAGAGCTCGGACTTCTACTCTGTGGAGGAACGAACATCACTCCTGAAAAAGCCACATGAGAAGAATTTTGGCCTGAGGTTTTCCCTTGAGGTTAGTTTGGGGTATGAGAAGCCAAGGAGGCTGGAGAAATGCATTTAAACCCAGCCCTCTGTCACTTCTTAAGCACAACACCATCACAATTTAGTTTCTTCTTTGAACTTCCCCTGCCTGATTCTGGGTTTTCACAGGCAGCCCTGCCCTCTTTTTCTGCTCTCCACATGTTTAGCTGGGAGGCTTAAGGATAAGTTGAACAAGGATTATTTTAAATGTCATAGCTCTCCATGCCATCTGGAATCCTAGAACACACAGCAAGACAGAAGCCTATCCTTCAGGCTAAATGCTTAGCGCTTAGAAAGTGCTGCATGGAAAGGGTGAGTGAATAGTTTTGTCCTTTATTCATTTGTAAGCCCACTTGTGCTCAGATGGTGATCTCTCAAAATTTGGAGACAGCATTCTTTCTTTCTACAAATGAATTGGGATTGTACCAAATAAGAAATCCTGGAACTAAAATCAATATTTATATATTTTTAATTTGGGAGATTTTAGAATGGACTGGTTAAAACATTACTGGTAATACAGGCAAAGAAAAAGTATCAGAATATTAAAGGGGGTTTGAAAGTTTATGTCTGTGAAAATAATGGTGGATATAATCTTACCTGAATTATTTAGAACAATTCATATTCTGCCTTGCCCCTTGAAGTTCATGAAATTATCCAGAAAAACCTCCATTCAAATCTTGAATATGGTTTTCCTTTGAAAGCATATTGATCTGTTTATTATTTCTTATAAATCACAGAACACAAAGATCAATAATTCCATGCTTTTCAGAATGTTCTAATGCTATTTTTAAAAGATACTACAATATGTGCTAAAAAGAATATTTCATCAAAGGAATTTTACATGAAATGCAAACAGAAATTTTCTGTGAAATGCATCTACGTGTGTGTGTGTGTGTGTGTGTGTGTGTGTGTGTGTGTGTGTGTGTATTCAGTTAGTACAGAAATAGGATGGAATAAATTCACATGAAACTGACTTGGACCAAAAAGAGTCTGAGCCAAATGCTGGGTCTCCACAGTAAAGGACTATCTATGGCTCCCATAATAATAGCTAATCATTTCCCCATTCCCTCCTGGATTTTCCCCCAGGAGCATGCACAATTGCTGAGGATTGTTGTGGACAATTAAAGGTATTTATTTTAAATTTGTCACATTGTTCTGTGGCATTGTGGGGAATTTAAATAGTTGGCTTCCAGTCAACTATTTCTAGCTAAAACCATCTTTGGGAACATGGAAGGCAAGTGAATGACTTGCATGAAGTTACGATCTTTTTTAACCTTTCTCTATCTATTCCAAACTCATTCCTCAATTTCAGGTCTTAAAGGAGATGGGAATCTTTACACCAGCCTGCCCCCTAACAAACGTGAAGAGGTTGAAAAGCTGTTGAATGGTTCCACAGAGGAGACATGGCGCCACCTGGCTGGTGAACTAGGCTACAAGGAAGATCACATAGACTCCTTTACACAAGAGGAATACCCCGTCCGTGCGCTGCTCTCGGATTGGTCCAGCAAGGACAGTTCCACCATGGATGCCCTTTATTCAGCCCTGCGCAAGATCCAAAGGGGGGACATTGTGGAAAGCCTTTATAGTGAATCCACTGCTAGTTCTCCAGTGTGAAGGAGAAAGAGAGGGCAGAGGCGATTGGAAGAGGTAGAGTTAGCTCCTCATTTCCCCTGCCCCACTGGTGCCACTTGGAAGAAGGACATGTGGAGGAAAAATAGAGCTCATTCTTTCTGGGGACACTGGAATGATCCTTGTAAGCACCGATTTAGTTATTTTTCCCTCTCTGCCCTACTGTCCTGGTATTTTCATCCAATAGCTCTTGCTAGTAACAAACAATAAGACGGTAAAAGGAAATGAAAGACAGGAGAAGGAATGGATGTCTTGTTTATACTGTATGTGCTCCTTTAAATCTCCTGGACTTTGAGTGGATGGCTGATTCTGAACTGAGGCAAGAATGAAGAAATACATCTGTCCAAAGCCAATTGCTTGACTTCCCTTTCAGGTGCCTCTGGCATTTATCCCACGCGCTTCTCTCATGATCCCATCAACATCAGTTCTCTTTCTTCTCTTGCACATCTTCTTTCCTTCAGTCACCAGTTTACCCTATTTAAGCACATCTGAAATCAGGAGAAAGGAAAGGAAAAAAAAACCCAAGGAGACCAGCCAGATACGTTACAGAGTGATGAAGGATTCAAAGAAGGCAGAAAGAGCTGGAATGCTAGGCCTGAAACAAGGAGACATATGGTGTTTAGAGGACAAGTGAACATTTGTTTTGAGGCAACCTCCTGAGGGGGCTCTGAGTGGGGAGAAAAGAAATGTGGACCAGGTTTCTAGCTATCAAAACTGACAGTATGAAGATCAAAGTGAGAAGCTAAGGGATGGAACCCAAAGACAAAATAACGACATTTCCATCCAAGTATGGGTGACCACATCAAAATTATATTTGATCCCGCCCTTGTTTTCTTGCTCAGATGCATTCTTCTCTAGCTAATAAGGATTTTTTTAATTAAAAAAAACCCTTTTCCATTTTTCTTTTTCTGAGTTTGACTGAAACCAGTAAAGTCATATAAACCCTTGCTTAAAGGAGCCAGATATGCCGCATTGATGTGTGGACCTAATCAGAAGCAAACAAGGCAAGTGGTCAGACATATACATTCATTTTCCAAGGGATGCTGCTTTGATGATGCCACATGCTGTATGTTCTTCTTCAAATTGGTAAACCAATCACTGTGTGTTAAGAAGCTGTAACCTCTGTTGCATTAAAAGGGGAAGCAAGCAAGCAAACAAAAAATCCCTTAGTGGCCTTAATGCACAAAGCAGGGAGCAATCTATATGAAAACGTAGCTGCTCTCAGAGGTAGAATTTTGCTGAATGTTATTCCTGGGTCAAGTGATGTACAGCCACCAAAGCAACCTGCTATTTTCTGTTTTCAAATATTAGAGGGATATAAAAGCACTATGGGAATAGGATGGTGGGGAAATATTCTACAAGCTAACAAGAATCACCAAAAGCTCTTGAGAAAAAACAAACAAACAAACAAAAAAAGAACTGGAACTGTACAATTCCTTTTCTCTGTATCTGTATTATAAGATTAATGTTGGTTTCTTTTATTCTTATTCTGATGATACTCATATAGACTTTATGAAAAAAATGGTGGCATTTGAAAACTGATAGGTTTTTAAACAGTTGACTGGGCCATTCATGGGTATTGTTTAGCTGCTCATCTTGTTTCTCTGATTTAAAACCGTGGAGAAGAAATCTCTCCATCATATGTATGCACGCACACGTATATATAAATATATACTTAGAAAGTAATGGGAATACTTCCTGGGGAATGTTAGTTAGGAATGCTAATTAATTTCCCTCTCAACCAAGAGATGATTAGGGAAGCTTTGCAGTCTGCACTAAGTGTTGCTATTCTAATCACTTTTCTGTCATCATACCAATTTTAATGGTTTGCCTCACCAGAAAACTTCTATTTTAACCTTGACATTTTTGCTGTCAACAAACCTTAGTAGCAATTTTAAATAGGATGGTACAACAGATTGAGGAAAGTTAATTACATGTTTGCTTTCTATTTAAAAACTTTTTACAGAACAACTAGAACCATGTCTTTATTCGTAGAATGTTGCTATTACATAACAACAATAATAAAGAAGCCAGAGGAAGAGCTAGTAACATATCTAATGAATTCCCAAAAATTTTAGAAAGAAAATATGGAGATACATGGAGGTACTTGTGGCCTTGTTGATTTTGGGTCTAACTACTGGCCCACCTAGCTTAACATCCTTTTCATGTCAATTCTGAAACCCAAATTCCCTTTTTATGGTATGAAGGGCAAAGAGCCTGGACACACAAAACAGGCACTTTACCTCAGAAATCCAACTCACAAACTAGTTCAACCTCTTGGTATACAATTTGGAGATAACTCCAATTGCCCTTTTCTCTTTTTGTAGAGATATGTCCCTTGTTGTGTAGTAACTATCCCAAAAGAAGCAAACAGAGTGCCAAATGTTTTTGCTTTTCTTGAACATGCAACTCCATTAAATAATTCTACCTTTTAAGATTTACTGCATTAAGCCCTTCATTTTTCTTTTGGGGCAACAAAATCCCCACAGATTAAGAGATGCAGGCAAGATAGAAACCCCACTGGAATTCAGGTTTCAGGTTATAGCAAACAGAATTTATCTTAGCAGGTAAATTTTGGCACATGACACACATGAGTTGGAGCTTCTCTGCAAAAGAAAGGAAGTCCTTCTTCTTCTAAATGCTATTCCTTATTATTCTGAAGTCAGAGTAGAAACAAGAAAACCAATCAATATAAGAGACTGAGTGATTAGTATTCTTGAATAATCAGGTATAAATGTGTTATATTGTAACTGTGTTATGCAACAGCTACATCTCTTCCCAAAATCGTGTTTCCAACTGCATGATCCTAGGAAAAGATGGGACTGTTTTAAAATGTTGCAGTGACATCCTATGTTTGTACTTCAAAGCTTCTTTTTGGAATGAAATCAGAAATGTGGTACAGTTATGTTTAATATCATAACCATATGATTGATTGGGACTTGCATATGAAGACCCGTCTTCATATATCAATAACAAGGACACAATGTCAGTGAATAACAGTGCCTTTCGAGTACAACTTTTTCTTTTTTTAACCAGGAAGTTAAAGGATGTTGAATTCTTATGCTAACAACCCATACAAAGAGATGAAAATGTGATAGGACAAAGAAATGTAGAGCCTATTTATTTGAAATTTGGCCTATTTTATCTGGAATAAATTATCCCGAATAGAGTATATCTCTATATCAGAGCCATGCTTAGTTGAAAAGATATGTGTAGAAGAGAATAAAATGGGAAAATGACGCTTTATTATAAATCATTGTTGGCATATGTCTCCATTTTATTCACTGCGTTGAACTGCAATTGGGCACAGTAAATCTGTGGCTTTCCTTTGTGGGTTCAAATGCCAGAATATCGGGAAAACTCAATAGTTCTTGCTAGTCTTCTGCTAGAGGATTGAAGGAGAATAATTGGTTATTTTCTCAGGGCTACTTAAAATGTGTATGAGAGAGTGTGTATATACCCAATACACACATTTCCAGGTGAAGAATCCATGTTACTTAGGGAAGGCAATTGGGTTTCTATATCTGGTGAATCCAGAAAAACCCTTCCCCAAAAGGAATTTTCCAATGTTGAATTTCTTCCTTAAAAATTAGAACTTTTTCTCCAATCTTGGTTAAACGATAATTTGTAGTTCAAACTGCTTTGCTTCTTCATTTGTTTATGTGAGGGTTTTATATCTTATCCCAAAATACCGAATAAATACTTCTCTTGACTGAAGCATTGCCTGGTTAGTAGCAGAGGTGGTATTCAGCAGGTTCTGACCAGTTCTGGAAAACTGGTAGTGGAAATTTTGAGTAGTTTGGAGAACTGGCAAATACCACCTCTGACTGGAGATTTTACAGTACCCTTCCCCTGCCATGCCCACTAAGCCACGCCCACAGAACCGGTAGTAAATTTTTTGAATCCCACCACTGGTTAGTAGGTTTCACAAAGATGGATTGAAGATCTAGTCCCTTCTCTTCTAAGTTGGCAAGGATGGGTGACTTAAAAGAGATTCTGAGGAGAAAAAGGACCCATGTGTGACTGTAAATGATTTTGTAACAGCTGCATGGCCAGCTGTACATGTGTACTGTGCAAATATGAATAAGCAGGCATAGTTGTGCTCACAACCTTATGTATGTATTCCAAAAATCCGATGAAGAAAGGGTACACTATATTAAGTGTTCAGTTGGGTTTTTTCCCCCTAGATGCATTTCTTGCATTTCAAGGGGTTTGAATTTCTCTGCCCTCATTCTTCCCTATGCCCTGAACCAAACTGACATCACAAAGTATTCCCTAAATTTTGCAGCCCCTCAAAGTTTACTTTGCAATCAAAAAAGACAAACTGAGCAGATTTAGATAAACATGTCTAATGGGCCTACAGCTGTTCCAGACATTTCAGTACAGACACAGATGTTAGCTTTTAATGATAAATGTTGGAGTCCATGGCTTATATTAAACTGTTATATGTGTTTGAGTTCATTTCAACTAATTGATGAATTATGATTAGCAGCTAATCAGTTTTGGTGATTAGCCAAGACTGCATGTGGTTAGCTAGCAACAAACCACTTTGAAGGGCAGCACCTTTGTAGAGTTATCATTCAACAAAATCATTCAGTTTTATGTGTTGTATCCATGTTCTTTTTCACAATATGCATCGGCTATTTAGTATATGGGTGGTCTCCCATCCAATTGCTGCTCAGATCCAAACCTGTTTACCTTTAGAAGCTCAGTTGAAGCAAGAGTGCTTTCATAAACATTGATTGTAGCACTAGTAGAACATATTTCTTCAGATGTGCACTATAAAAAAATGGAACTAAAGTTGACTTTCCATTCCTTTAAGAGACATTATGGCTTTTTCATGCATTCATCCAATTGTATTATTTCATGCCTAAGTCCTTAGCACTATTCTTTTATGTTTTTAAAGATGTAGCTTTGACATAATCAGGGACTTAAAGCAGCTAAACCTAACCTAGATAACCATTTAATATCAATTTCTTTTGTAATATGGTTCTGTTTTTAAATTTACTTTTAAATAGCACCAAAATATCTTCCCAGCTCTGTCACAGCAAAACACTGCTTATATGAAAGTTTTGAAGTGTTCTATCCCTTTGATGTCATAATGCAATATGTTTCCAGATATAACTATTTTAACAAGTAGTCAGTGATAAAGTCTGGAACAATTTTTTTTTAATTGTTAGCGTAGCTTAATTTTAATGCAATATTTAAGCATTAGAAAGATAATTTTTAAAAAATTGAAAAACTACTATTGGTCATATTGCTAAGCTATGACTGGAAAGAATATTCTTTCATTAGTAACACACTTTCATTTATACATAATTTTACTTCTATTTTATTATAGACCAGAAATGTGTGTGTGTGAGAGAGAGAGAGAGAGAGGAAGAGAGGGAGAGAGAGAGAGAGAGAGAGAGGGAGAAGAGAAAGAGAGAGAAAGAGAGGGAGTGAGAGAAAAGCAATTAAAAATGAATGATGGTGAAAAGGGCATCTAGTTAAATTGCAGGCAGGATGATGAACTATTACATCTTTTGGTCTCCCCAATCTTTTTTTAATAAAGTTTATTAGTTTATAATATAAAATACAAAAATACAAAAACAAATAGTAGGAAAAATAAGGGAGGAGAAAACAAAAGGAGAAGTGTAGAAAAGTAGGGAAAAAAGAAAAAAAGTGTTGACTTCCGACTCCCTCTGTTGCAGTAGAATAAAACAGCAACATCAAACCTCAACTCTTTAGTTTTACGTAATAGTATAAACTATAACAACAAATCTATCTAATCAATAAAACTCAAAAATCCAAGTTTTATTTTTTTCCACCTCAAGCACGAAGTCCAGAAGCAGTTTCCAAGTAGAAACAAAAGTAATTATGTTTTTTTCTTTTATCAAAACAGTCAAATTAGCCATCTCTGCTAACTCCATTGACTTTTGCAGCCATTTGTCCATTGTAGGAATCAAAATGTCTTCTATCTTTGTCCATAAAGTAGTCTTGATGCACTCAACGTATATAACATCAAAGTTCCATCCCCCCCACCCCAAAAAAAAATCTTTTGCCATTAAACCAATCTAATGCCATACACTTTGTTATTCTTCCTCCACCTCAACAGTCATGGAAAACACCACCTACAAAATTCAAGAGAATTTTAAATGAGAGGTAGTATTATGTAGACACCATCACATTGGAGTAAATAAATTATGGTCACAATACAATAAAGCTTTACTGGAGAACAGCCTTGGTAGTTCCAGACTGTAATCCAGGTATCAAACTGCAAGTAATGTCCCAAATAAGAGCATGTTATTTGAAGCTCCATACTACTATAGGAGCCGAATGACTTGATCTCATGTATTGGCCTGAATTCAAATTTCCCAACTCAGGTCAATTTGAGAATTAGAAGTAAATCCAGTGGTTAGGATAAAGAATCAAGATCCTCTACAACTAGCCATCCCATTGAAATGTTTAATAAGGGGCAAAATGCTAAATACTCTGAGAGTAATTATTGAATCCAATCAGTGCATTTTGTCCTGGGCCCATTCATTTCTTTATCTTTTTGATTTGTCCATTTTATGGAAACTGTGCTTAAACACCCTTTAAAGGTTAAATGTGGTGCTCAGCTTGAAAAGGGGTCACATTCCTTATTGTAAGTTGTTTTTGTCATTTCTTCTTAAGTCTAAATGAATACACTCACACTGCAATGAAACAAACTAAATGTTAAAAAGTATAGTTACTTACCAAGTACATCTAAATTATGTTAAAGTAACCAAAATGTCTTTACAATCCCCAAGACATGTCATAATTTTTGACCACTTGTAATGTTTGGAAATTGAAAGTTGAAAAATTTGACATGCCCTGCACAGTACTTTAACTAGTGCAATGTTTTTATATTTCACACAGAACCATGAACTAAATGGGCTGGATCAGAGGTTGTATTTAGCAGGTTCTGACCAGTTCTGGAGAACTGGTAGCGGAAATTTTAGTAGTTCAGAGAACCGGCAAATACAACATCTGACTGGAGATTTTACAGTATCCTTCCCCTGCCACACCCACAGAACCGGTAGTAAAAAGTTTTTAATCCCACTACTGGGCTGGATCATGCAAGAGCATCAGGCCCGAAGAGCAAACTAAGATTATTACTAATCAGGCTTAGGAGTTTGTACAAAGGTAGCCGCTAGGTATTCAGTGTTGAAGCATATTGTCTGAACACAGCCATTTTGGAAGTCATGATTTGCTCATTAGAAAGAGAAGGTGTTTAATACATACTAGAAGGTCCTTGCCTCAATTAAAACACAAATGTTTTGAAACTTTTTATGTGACAAGCACATAAAAAGATCAGCACTTCAGTCAAACTGTTGTGACTGTTAATGGTGAATTTCTTGACACCCCCACCCCTCAAATGCCCCTGCATAACTTTTGGCATTTTTCCCTCTACTATTTACCTAGAAACCACCTAAAAATAATACACACAATGCCAACAGGTCAAAGAGTGGATGAACCAACTTTCTGACTCCAGAAGCAACGACTTATTTGAATCCGTTTCTGTCTAAACTTCAAACCTCCCCCTGCAGAAGACAATCTAAACGGTAAGTAACAGACATTGACAGAAGCACCCAGTACCAGAATGAGGAGAGCTGCCCAGATGTTCCTTATTTAAAAGTCAAGTTTTGTTTTACAACTTGTTTATGTGCTAAGAGATACCCAAGGTTGTTTAATTCTGTGTTATTATCTTGATCAACCATTTGTAAGCAGATCTGAAAGTGGAAATCTTTCATAATCTCAACATGGAAAGGAGATTATGTGGTTATTCCCAGGAGATGGGGAAGGCTCTTTTTATAGGCACAGGAACTCATGCTCCACTGTGGCCATGGAAAAAGTTTTCTTTTCATCTTTAACCAATTGACAAGCTTCAAATCCTCATCTATCCATCCAGCCGCCTTATTTCTAAATAACCAAATTTGGCTTAGCACAGTGCTAACAGATTAAAAACGACAGCAGGAAAATCCTAAGTTCCTTATAGGGAAGTGATTTTATATAAAAGTGATGAAGGTGAAACTAACATTAGTTTTTGAGGCAAATCTTTAAGAACACCTTCTGAATCCTTTCACACATGAAACAATGTACAAATGTTTGCTTGCTTGTTTCTATTTTGAGCCTGCTGGAGTCCACAGTAACTCTGGCCAGCTAACTCTGGCCAATTAAGATAACTCTGGCCAATTAATTATTTTTAATCAACGTATTTCCAAGAAAAAAGAATATAGGTGGGAAAGACTTTGGGAGATGGGGTGAAGAGATGCTGACTAGGGAATGATGAAATAAGAGAAGGCATAACTTGCACTCAAAAGATACCCTTCCTAGTTTTTCAGAATGTAAAGAAGATGGTGAGAGATTTGTACTTTCAGA